CGCCTCCTGGGTTCAGGCAATTCTCCTGCCTCAGCCTCCTGAGTAGCTGGGATTACAGGCACGCGCCACCATGCCCAGCTAATTTTTTGTAATTTTAGTAGAGGCGGGGTTTCACCATGTTGACCAGGATGGTCTCGATCTCTTGACCTCGTGATCCACCCGCCTTGGCCTCCCAAAGTGCTGGGATTACAGGCGTGAGCCACCGCGCCCGGCCTAAGAAAGCATTTATTTCTTTAATGAAGTACAGAATTTATGACAAACCAAAAATATTTCTATTCTAGTTTAACTTGAAAACCTTCCTAGCCACTACTTCTTACTGAATTAACTACTACTATTCTAAAACTTGAAGGACTTGTTTCAGGAAGGGTCACAGATCTTTTAAAATACAGAACAGTAAAATGGACGATGGAAAGAGGACGTGGAATAAAGTATGTATTGGGTACAATGTATACTACTTGGGTGACAGGTGCACTGAAACCAGCCTCCACCATTGTAAATTCATCCATGTAACCAAAAGTCACTGTACCCTAAAGCTAATGAAATAAATAGGAAGGAGGAAGAAAAGGGGGAAAAAGTCTAAATGTACGCTTTTTCTTCAGCATTAAACATTATTGGGTTTGAAACAACAGATGTGACATATCTCCGTTCAGTACTGATACCATCTATCAGAAATGGTTTTTGCCTTGTGAAAGATGGGTAGGAAGGAAAACTTAATAGGAATTATCATGAAGCAGTTTTTAAGTTTAGCTAGACACACAAAGGCAGCTATTTTACCTACCCAATTGGATGCCCCAGAGAAACAGCTCCTCCATTGATATTCACTTTTTGGGGATCAATCTCCAGCATTTTAATGTTTGCTAGTACAACGAGACTAAAAGCTTCATTTACTTCCCACATTGCAATATCTTCCTTTTTCAATCCTGCATCTTTAAGAACCTACGATTTTTTAAAAGACAGATGATGTTCAAATAAGTAGCAATCACTGTCATTTCCTTGAAATTCTACAATTTGATGTCAGTTATTAAAATATGGAAGTTCTTGGTTTCAGATGGATCTCAGTTTTCAGATTTATTTATTTGTTTAGACAGAGTCTCACTCTGTCTCCCAGGTTGTAGTACACCTCCGCCTCCTGGGTTCAGGCAATTCTGTCTCAGCCTCCTGAGTAGCTGGGATTGCAGACATGCACCACCATGCCCGGCTAATTTTTGTATTTTTAGTAGAGACGGGGTTTCACCATGTTGCCTGGGCTTGTCTTGAACTCCTGACCTTAAGTGATCTGCCTGCCCTGTCCTCCCAAAGTGCTGGGATTACAGACATAAGCCACCGTGCCCGGCCTATTTTCAGATTTTTAGTTGCTTATCCTATTCCATTATAACCAAAGGATTTTGTTTGCATTGTTTTAGGTCTATTTTGACATAAGGTAGGGGACTGAAAATTTGACTTTCTTTCCACAGACACTTGAAAAGGTATGTTTTCTATTCAGGGGTATATAATGCTTTATATAATCTTAAACTCTACTTTACTGATTTCTGTGTTGCTTAGTTCTGTATTTTTGTTGTTGTTTGGAGACAGGATCTTGTGTCACCCAGGCTGAAGTGGAATGGCACAATCGGGGCTCACTGCAGCCTTGACCTCCCAGGCTCAAGCGCTCAGCCTGCCTCGGACTCCCAAAGTGCTGGGATTACAGGCAAGAGCCACTGCACCCAGCCAGGTCTATATTCTTGACTGTTATGAAAAAGGTTTATTAGTTTCTACTATTCATAATAGTAACGCATCCCCTGCAGTTTCTGCTTAATAAAAGTTACTGTAGGGTTATCTGGGGCACAGATACTTACATTTGTTGCAGTTTCATTGTAAGTCATTTATTAAAAATCTTACATTATAGGATCTATTTTGTTTTAGTAGTTCCTCAGCTATGCAGGAAGGTGTTTTTGTGCTAGTGATTATTCCTATAATACCTCTTAAAACATTACTAGTGAGTGCCCTTTTTCTTTACAGAAGAAATTTGGTGGTGGTGAGCAATAACAAAATTAACATGGAACTCTTCCTCCACCTTCCTCTCTTCTACTAATGGGCTAAGGTAGCTTTGTATCCTGTACAGTTCAAATGGCTCCCTCTTCCAACAACAAAAAATATGGTACCCATATATAGCCACATCTATAGCTCTCAGAATGACTACCACCTTCAGAATCCAGAACTGTTTATTACACATGATGCATTCACTTTCCTTAAGACTTCTAAGAACCCTATACCCCTAAACCTCTTTTCCTGTGACTGCTTAGCAACTTTCCACTGAGACTTGGTTATTTCTTCTTTGATAGCACTTACTGACTGTGGAATATGTAGGTTTTCTGTGTCTAGTTGTACTATTTGAAGACCTGCTGCCAGCTGTTCCCTTTCAGAGTGGAGGCCTCTTCTTCTGGGGAGTGACCAGTTGCTTTCCATCCTAGATGTGGAACCATCAGCCAGCATTCCCTTTTCTTTGCCCAACCTCCCTCCCCTTCGTGGTTACCACACCAGGTGTGTGAGTTCAGTATCATACTTAGCAAGTAATTCAGATATGTAGTTTTACCTGTTCTACTGAAGATGCAGTTTGTGGGCTGTTCTTACTTTTTGTTTTGTTTTTTTATCCTTGTTGCTTTAACTCTTTTTCAGGAGAAGACATGGGAAGATTTGAAACCAAGCTATCTCTCTGCTTTGGCAGATAAACAACATTTAAAATCTAAAAACTGCAACCCTGGTATAAAGCAAAGCAGCAGTTGGCATAATGGAGTATCGTCCCTCACTTTGTTCTCACCATAGGTACGGCATATGCAGGAGCGATTGGAAAATCAATAGGTTCTACAGCCGCATCAGCAAATGCTGTTTAAAAAAAAGGAGGGGTTGTTAAAATTTTGTTTTGCTGTATAGAATATGCAAAAGCCAAGTTTAACCCATTAAATACACATTTCCTAACCCCTTTAATATATGTAAATATATTTCTTCCTTTTCGAAGATTCTACACTTTATAAGGTAGTCCAGTTATCCAAGACACTGATTTTCATTGGGAGGGAGTTTGGGGAAATTTGTCTCTAGGAACACTGATTGGCACCACCTAGAGATATTTTTGGTTGCCAGAATAGTTCAGATGCTCCTGAGTAGAGGCTAAGGATGCTGCTCAACATCTGCAATGCATAGAACAGCCCTACAACAAAGAATTATTGAGTGCAGAATGTCAGTAGTGCTGAGGTTAAGAAGCCATGATCTAAGCTAAGAAAAAAATGAAGTTATAAGGCTTTTTATAAAGTAATTTATAAATAGCATCCATTTAAGTCCTTAGAAAGAAGGCAAGGAAGAGTTTTGCAGCTAAAAATCAGCTTAAGGACATTGAGAATTTGCCCAGTGCCACCAAGTTAATAAAAATTAAAAAGCCACACATCTAAATTTGATATTTCTACATTCTTAAACTCATATTCCTTTTTTCCTACACAGCTGCCTCTCTAAGAAAACGCATGTACTTTATTTTCTTCTACTTATATAGGAGAGGAAAAATTTTTAAAGCTTAATCTTTTGAAAAAGAAAATAGACAAGGTCTTGCTCTGTTGCCTAGGCCAGAGTGCAGTGGTACTGCAGTTTGACATATTGGGCTCAAACGATTGTCAGCCTTAGCCTCCTGCATAGCTGGGACTACAGGCATGCCACCACACCTGGCTAGTATTTTTCCTTCAGAGATGGGGTCTCACTATGTTGCCCAGGCTGGTCTCAAACTCCTGGCCTCAAGCAATTCTGCCTCGGCCTCCCAAAATGCTAGGATTACAGGCATGAGCCACTGTGCCCAGCTCTTAAAGCTTAATATATAAAGTATAATGAAAATATTGAAGGAACTTCTCTCTCAGTTGATGTATCAATTAAATTCTGCCACAAAGTACAACCTATAGATAGTAATACATAATATTGGAGTTGGCTATATCTAACAAGGAAACTCAATTTCAGGAAGAGCTTATAGATGTTTAGAAACTTTAAAAGACAGGGTCTGTCACCCAGGCCGGAGTGCAATGGCACAATCTCAGCTCACTGCAACCTCAAACTCCTGGGCTCAAGGCATTGTCCAGCCTCAGCCTCCCAAGTAGCTGGGACTATAGGCACATGCCACCATGCTCAGCTAATTTTTTAACTGTTTGTATATACAAAGTTTCTATATTGCCCAGGCTGGTTTTGAACTCTGCTGCTCAAGCAGTCTTCCTGCCTCAGCCTCTCAAAGTGCTAGGACTACAGGTGTGAGCCACTTCCCAGGCCTTACCTACTATTCTTGCCAGCGGTTTAACGTTGAGCCTCTCGGCTGCATCTGCAGTCATCAGAACCACAGCAGCTGCTCCATCATTCAGCGTACTGGCATTGGCAGCTGTTACTGTGCCTGAAAGCAAAAATGAGCAAGAAGTCGAAACATTCCTTCACGATAAATACATTTGGTTCAATTTAACAAATACCTACTGCCCGAGCTGCTAAATGTTTAAAGAAATTACACATATGGGTGGAGACAATTCCTGCCCTCAGGAAACATGTACATAGCTAACAGCAACACAATGTAAAATGCCTGTTTACTAACCATTTTCTCAAAGATCAGAAACATACATGATGGCAGTGGGTAAATGCTGGTCTACAACTCTTGAAAGATGATAGGGACCAGTTACTAATTTTGTCTCCAGGGTCTAACTTTCCTCATTCCATATATAGCAGATACTCACTGCATTTTTCAAATCAGATATTTCTTCTCATCTAGAACACCTGGAATTAAATATCAATGAATACTAAAAACTAGTGAACCACTTTAAACAGGACAATTTATGGTATGCAAATTATATCAATAAATATATATTTTTTCAATGCCAATGAAGACCCTACCGTAGACTGCAATATATGAAAAACTGAATTCTATAGTCATGTTATACATGTCTTCCCTGGGAAGGTATAAACTGTCAATTTTATACTTTCAATTAATTTTGCATGAGTCTGCTATATTGGAAATGCTAAATAACATCTAGATGTCTTCTACAATTACTTTTTAAAAATCCTTAGGCAATTCTAAGAATTAGGTATGGTATACTGGCTCAATTTTTTATTTATGCTTCATTTCTTAACACTAACCATTTTCTTTCTGGAAAACTGTCTTCAGCTTTGGAACTTTGCTAAAATCAACACGTTTGTATTCTTCATCTTCTTTCACCACTACATCTGGTTTACCTAAAATAAAAATATTTTAAGAAAAACCACTCCAACAAGTACTCATTCAGCAAACAACTGTTGTACCTGGTGCCCAGTATTCTGTGCCTCCCTTTGCATCCCTGCCTCCCTTAAACCATCCCAAGTAAACACTAATCTAGAGTCTACTATCTGTAATCTCTATTATGTTACTGTCTTAAAGAGAAACTTATTAAGTAGCTTAACAAATTTTTTTTTTTTTTTTTTGGAGACAGGGTGTCCCTCTGTCGCTTAGGCTGCAGTTCAGTGGCATCATCACAGTTTACCTCAACCTCTCCAGGTCCAAGTGATCCTCCCACCACAGCCTCCCACATAGCTGGGACTACAGGTGTGAACCATCATCACAGCCAATAATTTTTTATTTTTTTTGTGGAGTCCGAGTCTCACTTTGTTGCCCAAGCTGATCTCAAACTCCTGGGCTCAAGTGATCCTCCCACCTCGGCCTCCCAAGTGTTGGGATTGTAGGTGTGAGCCAGTGCACCTGGCCACAAAGTGTTGGGATTGTAGGTGTGAGCCAGTGCACCCGGCCACAAAATTTAAATCTGATACACCTCCACATCCCATTCTCTTCTCCCTCAACTCCCTTCTATGATCACAGACCCTACTGTCCTGACCCCAGAGGTAGCTATCTAGCCTATACTGGCTAAGCTCTAACATTCTAGCATCTAGAGCAAGTAATCATTTCTGGAATAGAATTGTAACCCAAAGCACGTTAATGAGTCTATACTATGGATTTATTCTGCTGGAACTGGTGAGAAAGTCTCTCTCCTCCTCGAGAACCCTATATGTGTGACCCTACAGGTGGAGGCGCCAACTTAAGAAAGGCTGAGAGAATAAAGCACAAAACCCTGCAGGTATGAGAAGCCAGGCGAGCATGTCCTAGTAGTACTGAATATCCATTTCCAATCCCTGACGTTCCCAGAGCTGAATGATTGCTACTGTTCATCCTTCAGTTCTTGGAGGCACTCCCAGTAACCTTGTAGTAAACCACTATTCAACTTAAAATACCATGTTGTTGGCCGGGCGCAGTAGCTCAAGCCTGTAATCCCAGCACTGTGGGAGGCCGAGGCGGGTGAATCACGAGGTCAAGAGATTGAGACCATCCTGGTCAACATGGTGAAACCCTGTCTCTACTAAAAATACAAAAAATTAGCTGGGCATGGTGGCTCGTGCCTGTAATCCCAGCTACTCAGGAGGCTGAGGCAGGAGAATTGCCTGAACCCAGGAGGCAGAGGTTGCGGTGAGCCGAGATCGCGCCATTGCACTCCAGCCTGGGTAACGAGCGAAACTCCGTCTCAAAAAAAGATCGATACCATCCTGGTCAACACGGTGAAACCCCGTCTCTACTAAAAATACAAAAAATTAGCTGGGCATGGTGGTTCGTGCCTGTAATCCCAGCTACTCAGGAGGCTGAGGCAGGAGAATTGCCTGAACCCAGGAGGCAGAGGTTGCGGTGAGCCGAGATCGCGCCATTGTACTCCAGCCTGGGTAACGAAAGCGAAACTCCGTCCCAAAAAAAAAAAAATACCATGTTGCCTGTCACTGACAGGAAAACGAGTTCCAATAAATACAGTTCTCGAATGTAAAATAATATTCTTAGAGATCTTATAAATGGATTGAAATGAGACATTAAGTTGGGCGATTTATGTTCTCACTGAACTGGCAACTCCTCACTTTATTAACCATAAGCAGTGTCCTCAGTTGAAATGAACAGAGATAACAATGTCCTAATTTTAAACTGAAGCATAAAACATTCAGCAACATGAAAAATCTGTTCATCTTGTTTGGAACATTATCTCTCTACCTTTTACTGTAACTGTGACAGGAATAACTTCATCTGCAAATTTCCCAGCTTCCCATGCTGTTTTACTTCTGGTGTAAGAGTTAATAGCATAAGTGTCCTGTTCATCTCGTCCAATATTCAGCTTCTTTGCTGTATTCTCAGCACAGTTGCCCTGAGAAAAAGTTGAAATATTTTAAAGCTAGTTAACTTTGTATAATTTAGGAAATATCTATTAACTTTGCATAACTTATAAAAATAGTGGTTAGTTGTTCAATCTAGTTTCTTAAAATACATTTATTTCTATACTAGGTAACTTTTCACTTATGTCTTTTTTTGAGACAAAGGTTTGCTCTTCTCATCCGGGCTGGAATGCAGTGGTGCAATCTTGGCTCACTGCAACCTCCGCCTCCCAAGTTCAAGTGATTCTCCTGCCTCAGCCTCCCCAGTAGCTGGGATTACGGGCACACACCACCATGCCTGGCTAATTTTTTGTATTTTCAGTAGAGACAGGGTTTCATCATGTTGGCGAAACTGGTCTCCAACTCCTGACCTCAGGTGATCCGCCCACCTCAGCCTCCCAGAGTGCTGGGATTACAGGCATGAGCAACCATGCCCAGCCCACTCATGTCTTATCTTCAAATACTTGAATTAGCCTAGGAGTTGCTAGCTGAGCATCAGAAAATACCCTATTTAAATGTGGGATAATTTCTTTAATGGCTGAGCCATGCCAATACCATAGGCATACAAAAATATTTTCCTAAAGCACATGGCTAAAATCAACAGTTACAGAGCCCATCTTTCAGTTCAGTTTGTAAAGTATATACAGTAAGAAAAATCAAACAGTACTGGACATTAGATAGCATTTATCCACTAAAAATCCCATTTACCATATGAATTTTATTGTAGACATCAGTTAGCCCGTCTTTTACGATCAAATCTTCAAGCTTTACCCCACCATAGGGCGTTGCTCCTCTGTTCATCACATACGGAACATTGGACATGCTCTCCATCCCACCTGCCACCATCACATCCTGTGCAGCAACGCCAGAAAGACCTAATGTTAACTCAGATAGTTGCAAACCCATGATACCATTTATACAGCTACCTCCAAACAAGTATTCTACATGCATTTATCAAACATTTGTTACACAGTGAATATAGGAAGTACCCTCGTTACAGCTTCGCCCTGATGAAAAGAAATGGTATAAAATGTGTAATGATAAGTTGGCTGGCCACGGTGGCTCACACCTGTAATCCCAGCACTTTAGGAGGCTGAGGGGGGGTGGATCATTTGAGGTCAGGAGTTCGGGATCAGCCTGGCCAACATGTTGAAACCCCCCTCTACTAAAAATACAAAAATTAGCTGGGTGTGGTGGGAGGCGCCTGTAATCCCAGCTACTCAGGATGCCAAGGCAGGAGGACTGCTTGAACCTGAGAGGCAAAGGTTACTGTGAGCTGAGATCATGCCACTGCACTCCAGCCTGGGTGAGAGAGCAAGACTCAGTCTTAAAAAGAGAGAAGTACATTATCAGACATTAATAAGAATACCAGAAATCTTCCATGTAAAACCATCTTCTAAAATACTTACCTTTTTTTTTAGACAGGGTCCTACTGTTGCCCAGGCTGGAGTGCAGTGGCCCAATCTCAGCTCACTGCAGCCTCCACCTTTTGGTCTCAGGTTATCCTCCCATCCCAGCCTCCTGAGTAGCTGGGTCTGCAGGCATGCACCACCACACCCAGCTAATTTTTGTATAGTATTTTTAGTAGAGACGGGGTTTCACTATGTCACCCAGCAGCTCTCGAACTCCCAGACTCAAGCTATCCTCCCTCTCAGCCTCACAAAATGCTGGGATTACAGGCGTAAACCACCGTGCCTGACCTGAAATTCTTTTCCTTCCAACCCTTCATTTCATTCATGCTACTAAAAAGGTAATGTGTTCTAGAAGATTAGAAGTAATCTCAGTTCATGGAAATAATGCCACTTCCTTGATTGAGATCCTCATCATCTCTTCCTGGACAGCTGAAAAAAATGTCCATTTGATCTTCTGACATGCAGCCTTTCCACCAAAGAATCATCTACACTCATCTGACTCGTTTTGGCTAGAATGTAAGTCTGATCATTTCACACCTTAGCGAACTCAGCACAGTATATAAAGCCTTTACAGTGTGCCTTCTCTCCCTTTTTTCAGTCTCATGGCCTGACCTATACCTCAGGTCACACAGAACTAGTTAAAGCTCTCCAGAGACACTGTGCACATTTACACATACACCTCTGTACTTTCTGACCTATCCACCTACATGTAAAAACACCTACATTTCCTTTAAAACTAATCAGAACACTACTTCATGTCTGCCTTGACCACTTATTTCTATCTTTTCCTGAAACAGTTTCTTTTCCTTCATGTTCCCCAATTACTATGCAATGCTTTTATTAATATTATATGTTTATATGTCAAGTCTTCCCCCTAGACTCTGCTCCTTTGAGGTCAGACACCTTGTCATATTTTTACATCCTTGGCAACTGGCATATAGAGGTTTAATAAATATTAATCAATCAACCTGTTACTACTTTACAAGTCAGCAAAAAAAGTTCACTTGCATTATAAGGGCTAGTTAAAAATATAGTTTAATATAAATATAAAGCCAGTGATATCTTCTTACAGTCGTTGATCAGGCATACAGACAAGCAAGCTCTATACCAAAGAAACCTAAATATTTTGCCTATCCCAAAATACAGAAATTCTTAACCAGTTCTCATCTAAGTTTTATTCACTTTTACTTTTTACTATCAGTGATGGCAATAAAAACTGACAGAAAATAAAGTATCAATTATTCTTCGTTATAAAGTAAAACTGACCATTTTCCAAGATCATCAATATTCAAAACAAAGCACTTCCAAGTATGCCTGTAAGTCACTGTATTTATGCACAAATGAATCAAGTAATATTAAATGAAAGTATTTCAATATAGTACAGATAGTATTTGCTAGAGAGCCACAATAAATTAATTAAGACAAAACTTTCTACATCAAGCAGTTCTGAAAGTCTAAACAATCTCATGATCGTTTTTCACCCACTGGTTTGACAAGGGTTTGGTACCACCCAGTGTTGGTGCAGCTGCAGGCAAACAGGTCACACAACTTTTGGAAAGTAACTGGTACAGCTTTTAGGGAAAGCAATTGCTAATATCAAAATGATCAAATCCTCTGACTCAGCATTTCTTTTAGGAATTTGTCCAACAGAGACCGGCACACGTAGAGATTTTTTTCAATGTTCTGTTCACCACTCTATTTCCAGTGACTGGCACACGGTAGATGCCCAGCCCTCTAACTTTGTGGCTATCTCAGACACACTGAAGATAATCTTCATCTGAGAAATGAAGAGCTCAGATCTGAGAGAATCCTGGTTCTTCTGTGTGCCCAGGTCTCACCTCCTGACATGACAGCATATATGTGCTAAGCAGCCTGTCTCTTGCTTAAGGCTAATTAGAAAGCCTTTAGAAACTGAATCCAGGCATTGTACAAAGTACAAATTAGTCATCAAGCCTGGGCTCAGTCAATGATTTGATTCCCAGGGTTAAGCACCTTGTTCTCCTTTATAATGAAAACCCTTCTTACTCTGTCAAATACAGTATTTATGAATTCTTAGTCACCCATCCTCAGAGAAAGACCCCAATGCCTTGGCTAAAAACTACAAATTTTTTTTTTTTTTTTTGGAGACAGGGTGTCCCTCTGTCGCTTAGGCTGCAGTTCAGTGGCATCATCACAGTTTACCTCAACCTCTCCAGGTCCAAGTGATCCTCCCACCACAGCCTCCCACATAGCTGGGACTACAGGTGTGAACCATCATCACAGCCAATAATTTTTTATTTTTTTTGTGGAGTCCGAGTCTCACTTTGTTGCCCAAGCTGATCTCAAACTCCTGGGCTCAAGTGATCCTCCCACCTCGGCCTCCCAAGTGTTGGGATTGTAGGTGTGAGCCAGTGCACCTGGCCACAAAGTGTTGGGATTGTAGGTGTGAGCCAGTGCACCCGGCCACAAAATTTAAATCTGATACACCTCCACATCCCATTCTCTTCTCCCTCAACTCCCTTCTATGATCACAGACCCTACTGTCCTGACCCCAGAGGTAGCTATCTAGCCTATACTGGCTAAGCTCTAACATTCTAGCATCTAGAGCAAGTAATCATTTCTGGAATAGAATTGTAACCCAAAGCACGTTAATGAGTCTATACTATGGATTTATTCTGCTGGAACTGGTGAGAAAGTCTCTCTCCTCCTCGAGAACCCTATATGTGTGACCCTACAGGTGGAGGCGCCAACTTAAGAAAGGCTGAGAGAATAAAGCACAAAACCCTGCAGGTATGAGAAGCCAGGCGAGCATGTCCTAGTAGTACTGAATATCCATTTCCAATCCCTGACGTTCCCAGAGCTGAATGATTGCTACTGTTCATCCTTCAGTTCTTGGAGGCACTCCCAGTAACCTTGTAGTAAACCACTATTCAACTTAAAATACCATGTTGTTGGCCGGGCGCAGTAGCTCAAGCCTGTAATCCCAGCACTGTGGGAGGCCGAGGCGGGTGAATCACGAGGTCAAGAGATTGAGACCATCCTGGTCAACATGGTGAAACCCTGTCTCTACTAAAAATACAAAAAATTAGCTGGGCATGGTGGCTCGTGCCTGTAATCCCAGCTACTCAGGAGGCTGAGGCAGGAGAATTGCCTGAANTGTCAAATACAGTATTTATGAATTCTTAGTCACCCATCCTCAGAGAAAGACCCCAATGCCTTGGCTAAAAACTACAAATTTTTTTTTTTTTTTTTTTGACAGACTTTTGCTCTGTCTCCCAGGCTGGAGTGCAGTGGCACAATCTCAGCTCACTGCAACCTCTGCCTCCCAGATGCAAGTGATTCTTGTGCCTCAGCTTCCGGGGTAGCTGGGATTACAAGTGCCTGCCACCACACCCAGCTAATTTTTGCATTTTTAGTAGAAATGGGGTTTTGCCGTGCTGGCCAAGCTGGTCTTAAATTCCTGGCCTCAAGTAATCTGCCCCGGCCTCAGCCTACCAAAATGCTAGGATTATAGGACTGAGCCACTGCGCCTGGGCCTAAAAACTACTTTTTAACACAAATCACTTTGGCTATCTTTTTTTTAAAAAAAGAGCAGGGTCCCACTTGCTATGTTGCCTAGGCTGGTCTCAAACTCCTAGGATCCTCCTGCCTCAACCTTCTCAAGTGCTGAATTACAGGCATGATACCCAACCTAGGCTATCATTTTGATTGTTTTTCAAATGGACTTAGCAAATCCAGACACTCTTGAACGTATGAGAAAACATAGTAACTTATGAGAAAGAATTTCATTTCTAAAGCATGAATATGCCTAAATGTTTGTGTCTTTTAGCCCTGGGTATTATTCTGCTTAATAAATGGAAAAGGTGTTTCTTACCTGATGTCCACACATGAGATTTTGAGAGGCCATCATGATGGCTTTCATTCCTGAAGCACAAACTTTGTTTATGGTGGTGCATGGAGTAGAAATAGGTAAGCCTAAAACCAATATAAGTCACTTTTGAAAAACAGATAAACAAAACTGCAGAACTTTAATAAAGCATGTTACTATAAGCTGCAACATTTCTTCTGCCAAGGACTACAAATTATATAATGCATTTAGTATTTCATTTAAGCTTAAATAATCATTCTGCCATTTTACACTTTTTTTTTTTTTTTTGAGATGGAGTCTCGCTTTGTCACCCAGGCTGGAGTGCAATGGCGCAATCTCGGCTCACTGCAACCTCCACCTCCTGAGTTCAAGTGACTCTCCTTCCTCAGCCTCCCGAGTAGCTGGGATTACAGGTGTGTGCCACCACACACAGCTAATTTTTGTATTTTTAGTAGCAGCCAGGTTTCACCACATTGGCCAGGATGGTCTCGATCTCTCAACCCCATGATCCACCTGCCTCAGCCTCCCAAAGTGCTGCAATTACAGGCTTGAACCACTGTACCAAGCCCATTTTACACATTTTAAGTATAAAAGCAAAAATGTCTTCCTAGTACCTGCACCCAATACTGCCTGCCTTGTAGGGGCTTGTCCTGTGCCTCCTTGTAGAACATTACCCATGTATGCTTCTTTCACTTCTTCTTTTGGAATCCCTTTATTTAAAAAAAAAAAAAAAAAGCCACAAAGGCATTAAATTCAATTTAATAGTGATTACCTAATAAGATGTGACATTACACAATAGGAATGGTTTCTTTTTCTTATCAGTTTTGAGTTCCAATCTAAACTGTATAGAACAAAGCCTTCTTTACAAGGGAAAGCAGAAATGTAGGCATTAAGTCATTTTTTTTATTTTTTTTGAGACAGAGTCTTGCTCTGTCACCCAGGCTGGAGTGCAGGGGCGCCATCTCAACTCACTGCAACCTCTCCCTCCCAGGTTCAAGCGATTCTCCTGCCTCAGCCTTCCAAGCAGCTGGGATGACAGGATGCCTGCCACCATGCCCAGCTAATTTTTGTATTTTTAGTAGAGATGGGGTTTCATCACGTTGGCCAGGCTGGTCTCAAACTCCTGACCTCATGATCTGCCTGCCTCAGCCTCCCAAAGTGCTGGGATTATAGGCATGAGCCACTGCACCCGGCCGCATTAAGTCATTTCTAAGTGTTACATCCATAGTTAATGCAAAATAAGTGTATTTTCCATCGAATAATTTTGCTCCCTTAAAAAGCAAAGCAACTACTGACCTGCCTTTTCAATGGCTCCCTGAATTGCAATGGAACCGAGTTTAGTGGCTGGCAGCAAAGAAAGGCTGCCTAAGAAGGATCCAATGGGTGTTCTTACAGCACTTGCTATGACCACTTCCTGGCAAGATATAAGATAGTAAAAATTGTAGGTATTTTACCCAAATCGTATTTCATTAAATAAACCTAATTCATAAATACCCAAAAACACTTATGAATGAGAAGTCATCAAAAATTAATCTAAATAGTTGAATACCAATTCAGTAAGCGCTACCGCTGAATTGATTATCTTTACAGCTGTTCAACTATTTTCTCTAAGGAAGACCTTCGAGAAACCAACTCAAAAAACAGATGTAGATCCTTCCCAGTTCTCCACAGGAGGTTTGAGGTCAGAAGCTTAAGTTTCCTTTCTATTCCTCAGTCGTAACTTAAGAAAAATGGTCACTCTAACTTGGTTTGTTTTTGTATTTTTGTTTTGAGACAGGGTCTTGCTCAGTTGCCCAGGCTGGAATGCAGTGGCATGATCATAGCTCATTGCAGCCTCGAACTCCTGGGCTCAAGCAATCCTCCTGTCTTGGCCTACCAAAGTGCTGGGATTACGGGTATGAACCACCACGCTCTGCCACTTTACTCTTATTAACTGCATAATAAACAACTCTAACCAAGAGGGTCCCTTACTAAAAGGAACTCTGGGCTAGGAATCAAGACCTGTATCTTAGATGGGGCTATACCACTTAACTAGGACAGAGCCAGACCCATAATTACTTTTTTTTTTTTTTTTGAGATGGAATCCCACTCTGTCGCCCAGGCTGGAGTACAGTGGCGTGATCTTGGCTCACTGCAACCTCTGCCTCCCAGGTTCAAGGGATTCTCCTGCCTCAGCCTCCTGAGTAGCTGGGAATACAGGCACCTGCCACTATGCCCAGCTAATTTTTGTATTTTTAATAGAGACAGGGTTTCGCCATGTTGGCCAGCCTGTTCTCGAACTCCTGACGTCAGGTGATCCACCCACCTTGGCCTTCCAAAGTGCTAGGATTACAGGCATGAGCCACCCAGAGCCATAATTTCTTAAACAATAAGACAATAGCATGAGCATTAAGCAAAAGAATATAAAAGCCCTCTTGAATGCTATAAAACAGCACTGTGACGGTTCTTTCCTCACACTTGTCTTCCACAGCCTCCTATTTATAGATTAATAACAGAATTGTTGCCTAGGTTTTGATAGAAGGTCTTAACTAAGTCACTTTAGTGAACCTTACAAAACAAAAAGAGGACTCAGAAGGTCCTAGGAGATGCTGTAATGGCCTTCCTTGTCCAATTCCCAGCTGTTCCACTCCCTCTCTTCTAGGATCTTCTATACAGTGTCTGCTTATAACACACATACAATACAATGGGAGTGCCTGTGAGTCAAGGAAGAGTCCAGTTCTAGAGAAAAGGTTGTTTGCAACAGACGATGGAGAAGCAGCAAACATGAGCAGAGACTAACTGAAATGTTTTTACATTATACTAACCTAGTTTAACTTCATATTTCAATAGTTAGCTATTCCTAACCATTGCATAATCCTGCTCTAACCTTCACATATACCCACATCATCAGTATATACATTTTTATTATTTCCTTTAAATTCTGGAAATTTTAAAGCACAATTTAAATTACTTACCTTCAAAGTGGGTTGTGATACATAACTTCGTTCCACGTATCTTATTTCCTATAATATAAATATTTATAATGTAAAAAATATTAATCTGTATTATTTTATATTTCTCAGTGATAAGGTTTTATAGTGATTTCTTCCTGTACCTTTATGCTTTCATTTCCAAGTTTTTGCAGTCAGAATATATGACTTTTAAAAATTAGAAAAAAATAACTGCTTCATAATAAACTTTTCTGATTAACTATTCATTGGAAATGTATGGTGTGTTTGTTTTGTTTTGTTTGAGACAGAGTTTGCTCTTATTGCCCAAGCTGGAGTGCAGTGGCTCAGTCTCAGCTCAGTGAAACCTCCACCTCCTAGGTTCAAGTAATTCTCCTGCCTCAGCCCCAGTAATCCCCAGTAGCTGGGATTACAGGCATGCACCACCATGCCTGCTAATTTTGTATTTTTAGTAGGGACAGGGTTTCTCCATGTTGGTCAGGCTGGTCTCGAACTCCCGACCTCAGGTGATCCACCTGCCTTGGCCTTCCAAAGTGCTGGGATTACAGGTGTGAGCCACGGCACCTGGCCGGAAATGTATGTTTTAACTTCTAAGTTTACTATCTCAAAATTTCTAAGTCTTGGCCAAGTGCGGTGGCTCACGCCTGTAATCCTAGCACTTTGGGAGGCTGAGGCGGGCAGATCACCTGAGATCAGGAGTTCAAGACCAGCCTGGCCAACATTGTGAGACCCAGTCTCTAGCAGAAGTACAAAAATTAGCCCAGTGTTGTGGCACATGCCTGTAATCCCAGCTACTTGGGAGGCTGTGGCAGGAGAATCACTTGAACCCAGTAGGCAGAGGTTTCAGTGAGCCAAGATTGTACCACTGCACTCCAGCCTGGGCAACTGAGCACGACTCTGTCTGAAGAAAAAAAATTTCAAGTCTTTCTTAAAATCTAACAAGATACTCTCATTTCCTTTTTTGTTTGTTTGTTTTTTTGTTTTTTTGAGACGGAGTCTTGCTCTGTCACCCAGGCTGGGGTGCAATGAATGGCACAATCTCGGCTCACTGCAGCCTCTGCCTCTCGGGTTCAAGTGATTCTCCTGCCTCAGCCTCTTGAGTAGCTGGGATTACAGGTGCCCACCACTATGCCCAGCTAATTTTTGTATTTTTAGTAGAGACGGGGTTTCAGCAGTTTGGCCAGGCTGGTCTCGAACTTCTAACCTCAGGTAATCCATCTGCCTTCGTCTCCTAAAGTGCTGGCATTACACTGCACCTGGCCAGATATTCTCATTTCTTTAAGATTGTTTTCAAGTAAAACTTGCTGTTTCTCTCCATGCACTTCCAAAAATTGTCTTTTTATATGAGGCAAACACATCTCATATAATCTGTAATAGCAGATAAAATTTTTTCTTAAAGGAAAGAGTAATCATCTTGCCCCTACTACTTTTCAGTTCTTTCCACGCTTCTTAGGAACAAATGTCAACAACAGATCAGGTGCAGTGGCTCATGCCTGTAATCCCAGCACTTTGGAAGGCTGAGGTGGGTGGATCACTTGAGGTCAGGAGTTGGAGATCAGCCTGGCCAACTTGGCAAAACCTCGTCTTTACTAAAAATACAAAAATTAGCCAGAGGTGGTGGTGGGTGCCTGTAATCCCAGCCACTTGGGAAGCTGAGGCAGGAGAATCTCTTGAACCGAGGCGGCGGAGGTTACAGTGAGCCGAGATCATGCCACTGCATTCCAGCCTGGGTGACAGAGCAAGGCTCCATCTCAAAAATGAAAAAAAAAAAAAAAAAAAAAAAAAAAAAAAAAAAAAAAGAAAGAAATCATTAACGAAAAAGACACTTGCACACACATGTTCATTGTACTACAGCCTGGGAGAAAAGAGCAAAACTCCGTTTAAAAAAACAAAACAAAACAACACACAGTAAATTCTGACAATGCAGGACTCAATTCAGAGACATAACTGATGTGAAATTAGACTATTTACAGGACAAAGAACAAAGAATACATTTTTTTAATTTTGTTTTGAGACAGGGTCTTGCTTTGTCACCCAGGCTGGAGTGCAGTGGTACAATCACGGCTCACAACAGCCTCGACATTCCAGGAAGAATAAAGTTTTTTATCATCTGAGGTCAGAAAGCACAGCAAACAGTCAAAAGTGACAATTTAGATTTAGAACCTTATCAACTAATTATGGAAAGTTATAATGGGCAATCATCTTGTAAACAGAGCAACAAACAAGGCTACAAATATCTGAACTTTAAATTGACCCAAGAATTTAGCTTTTCACAGATCAACATGCTTTGTCCTGACTCAACAGAAATAACTAAAACTTTCCATTTATAACACAGGACAAAGGAAAGATTTGTCAAGCAGGAGTTATAAACAGTCACAGTAACAAGGAAGCCCCCAAATTGACTTTTTTTTTTTTTTTTTTTGGGCGGAGTCTCGCTGTCACCCACACTGAAGAGCACTGTCATGATCTCGGCTAACTGCAACCTCTGCCTCCTGGGTTCAAGCGATTCTCCTGTTTCTGCCTCCTGAGTAGCTGGGATTTACAGGCGCCCACCACCATGCCCAGCTAATTTTGTTTTTAGTAAAGACAGCGTTTCACCATGTTGGACAGGCTAGTCTCAAACTCCTGACCTCAGGTGATCTGCCAGCCTCAGCCTCCCAAAGTACTGGGATTACAGGTGTGAGCCACCGTGCCCAGGCCCAAATTGATTTGTATAGTGTTTGGATGAGAATAGATATGGCAAATGGCACCGTAAAGAGAGAATGTTTCCCTAGGCAGTGGAAGAACAGAATTTAATTCTAAGGTAAACACTTTTTTGATGTTAATATTATGGAATAAGTCGCTCTTATGTGAAAACTTTATGTTAACAACTTTGCTGAATGAAATAAACTAAGTCCTGATTCAATTTTAAAATGTCATCATTACAAATATTGAATGCAGCCCCTATTCCAAAGAGGCCTTTACAGTCTTTTTAGGGAGAGATGACTGACACACAAACAACTATTTAATGCTTCACTTGCTTGACAAACTTGTTGAAATCACTTACCTTATAGAAGGCATTATGAGGAATTTGAAATCTATAAAACCTGGTTCTGTACTCAAGCAGCATTATAATCTTCTGGGAGAAAAATGTGAAAATTACCTGTACATATTTCTTTTTTTTTTTTTTTTTGAGACGGAGTTTCACTC